ATCTGAAGTATGACTTATCAAGTTCGCCCGAACTACCTGTGTGGGCCTTCTGATACGGCCAAGTTCTCACAACCGCCTCATGCATCACGTTTTACGCCACCTCTATGCACTACGTATAAGCATCAGTTCTTCAAAAAACGTTTGAGTGATGCTTCTACAGGATGCTTAACTAATGCCACTTTGTCAGCTCTTCTGATCAGTGATGGACGTAAGAAGGCTTCTGGGGCGCCTGAAGATGTGCAAGCCGATATGTGGAAGCTGTGGAAAAATCGAGTGCATAGCGATGTGTATTTTAGTAACTTTTACTGTGTATTTTAGCAAAATATTTCTTCCGAAAGAGGCTTTTGTGAATATTATTCTTTCGGAGGTTGCTTGACACTCAAATTGCTCATCTCCGATGCACACAGACCGGGCAAACCATCTGATTATTAGAGGAAACTGGAAAGATGATCTTACTTGATGAGGTATTGTCTGGACGATGTTCACTGACAGAAGCTGGCGGCAGTAAAGGGGTCGACGGTACCAATGGCCTTTCTGTTGCAACCGAATGACGCTTCTTTGGTACTACATGCCTCCACAAGTCCTACAATGAATGAACAAAAACTGGTGTTACGCATTTTAGATATGTCCAAAAATGAGACTTTCTTGCCACACTGGATAACAGCCATCAGGAGAGCTGAGCTATCTCTCTGCGATCACTGAATGTCGCTTTCAACACATCTCTTCAAACAAGTCAGAATATGTACAGTGTTCATAGATCAATGTGTCCCGAACCAAATACAAGATAAAGTGATCCAGGAAAGTGAAGAATACCTGCGGAAACAAACAAACAACGCAAGCTACACTGGGAATACCCGTTCTGCACAGATGTCTGACAAACACAGTGAGCAGTAAGCTGTTTGACCATATATGCAGAACATATATTACTCGCGCAAAAGTGTAAGGTAATGCCAACCAAAGGTTCAGCCCCCTTGTATGACTAATTGTCTATAAGACATGGAGGTGCTCGCAAAGCAGCTGA